GTGGAAATAAATTCATTATTCATTTAAATGACGACATTGATAGTGAAACAGACAATATGGAAAAAGAATTATCAGAAGCTTTCGAAGAAAGTTAGTGAAATGTTTTTGAAGGGATAGATTGTATATTATTGAATAACGAAATTAGTTAGCTCCCTAAGTATATTATTAAAGGAGAGCTGTTGAAAAGTAGGTTGCGCTATATCGTTTACTTGAACTATACTGAACAAGTGAATTTCAGTAAGTCAACGATTGAAACACTATGAATTTGCTCACATCAAAAATTCACCTCCCTCGTTCGCTTCTGAAAAAAAACACAGTATCTTGCAAATCGTTTCTCCAGCCACCTTCTTCATTTCACGGTAATCCGAAACAATCCCATAACGATTAGATATAAAATTTCAGAAGACATCCGATAGCACCGAAGTAAAAGTACACCCAGCCTTCTAGCTCCGAATGAACAATGAAGACCTCTCGATTCTTGGCGTCTTTGTGAAACAACTGGTCCACCGTCGTGGAAATATGGATTTCGACTAAGTTCAGGGCTAAATGAGGCGTGGCAATTGTATAAATCCGTGATATTTCGGGTGGATAGTCACTGTGAACTTGAACAGCAAAACATCAACATGTTCGTAAAACTGGTAAGTTCTTGTTAAGTGGAGCTTGAAATTTTCCTAAAAAAGTGTCTCTAATCGCGTTAACCAGTCGTGCGTATTGATATTTGTGGGTGAACCTGTGAAGTGGATTATACAGGGATTATAAACAAGTGCTGTAGCGTCGATAAGTGATAAAGAAAATAATAGATTCGTTTTCGGTGAATGTTACTTTCTGTACTGTACAACTTGCAGAAAAGTTGTGGCAGTGTTTCTGAAACGTAACAGAAGTAATGTTCGCTCTGTCGGTGAAGTAGCTCCACAATGATGTCACGAGTTGAAAACGAATCTTTTCATGCAGTTTTTGAAAAATTTAACACACAGTAATGCTGAAAAATTACTGAATTCGTGAAATGTTTCAAATATTTCTTTGATTGCAGTGTCAAGAGTTAAAATGACTGTTGAAACGTCGATTACATCAAATCAATTAGCTTATGGTTCAACAAAATTATTGCTGAAGTTTGAAGATGCCAAATAAATATAATTCGATAGTTTTTGTTATTTGAATTCTCAAACGAAGCTAAAAGGCCTCAAAATTTTTGTAAATGAACCTTGAGTTTCCAAAGTCTCCCGAACTAATCATTGAAATACATACATATGAAGAAGTCAATTAGTATTAGATCCGGTAATCATATTGGTTACAGCAATCAGTTGAAAATTGCCGTGCAGTGACTTCAAAATAAATCAACACGCTCACTATTACATTTGAGAATTTTCCACCATTGATGAATGAGAAAATCTCTTATTGTCAAAAAAACATTCATTTTCAGAAGGCCTAGCACTAGTTTAGAAGCTGGGTTTATTTGGTCGAGTATGATTAGGTGTGACCCACAGTAAACCCTTGCGGGTTGCGGTGGAGAGTCGAATAAACCCGCTCAGTTTTGACCTAACCTAACTCAACCTATCTAGTTTTCAATGGTTTGAACGGAGTTTTGAGAAAAAACAAAAATTCCTGTGTTCTGGACGAACTTTTGCCTTCTCGTCAACTTTTGTATTACATATCCACAGAAGTTGACCAATGAGTTCTTATATTGTCCGAAATACGTCGACAGAAATAGTTTCTCCCTTTTGAACTGCCTTTTGAACTAACGTAAGGTGTTCTTTTCTGCTTCAAATATAACTCGAATATATTTTTCATCTATCAAAATGTTGCCCTTTTCAAAAACAGTATTCTACACCAGACATATTTCAGTTGAATTTTAAATTATTTTCAATTCAATAAATTCTTTATCATTTGAACTGAGAAAAAATACATTAAAAATCAAATGAAATCATGACATGAATTTACATATTAGAGCGGTTTGAGAAAAAGCAATAATAATAATACAGTTCTCAACCAGCCTTCTCAAGAATTTTTGAAAAAATAATAACGCAACAAATCAAAGTACATTTGGATAAAGCTAACATATACGTCCAGAAGTGCAATCTGGATTCCGACAGAAACACGGTACCAACACTGCTCTGTTTAGATCAGATTAATTAGTAAGCGATCTGATAATCATTATATCAATTTAAGAAAAGATACATTTACCATTCCATGTCCATGTTACCACCAAATTTGAGGGATGTTTTTCTTACTTTGGACCGAAGTATCTAAACAATTTATTACCGTATACTCATTTGTCTATATATCAATTTAAAAAAACTTTGAAAATTAATTTCTTAGAGGTTCAAAAATGATTGTAATCTTTTATATTATACTTATTTTCGCCACTGGGTCAAAATTACAGCTGATCTGAAAATTCCAACTCCCGGACGAAATAATAACTCTACTTTATATTCCAGGCCGTAATTGCTTGCTCTTTTGCCTTCGCCTCAGCGGCGTACAATGGTCCTCTCGCCGGAGGTCAACCAGCCGCCCTTTACCCCGCAGGAGTCGACCCCAAAGCTTGTCCCAACTTCCCCGATTGCACAAACCCCGCTGTAGCCGTCAACCAAATCCCCCAGGAATACAACTCCGCTCCCCAGTACCAACAGTACCAGGCTCAACCTCAGTACCAACCACAACAGTACCAGGCTCAACCTCAGTACCAACCACAACAGTACCAGGCTCAGCCACAATACCAGCCACAACCTCAGCAGTACCAAGCCCCCATTAACCAGTACAACCCAGTACATGCTCAACAATACGCACCCAGTCAGAAGAGCCAGTACGCCCCTGAGATCCAAAACGCTCTGGACAGGGGAGAATACATCGGGGATGGTGACTACCACGGGGAAGGGCTCGCTGAAGCTCTTGCACCTGGACATGCTGGTAAGATACAGATATTCCTTTTAAATACTTCGTGTTACAATTATTTCTACAATAGTGATATTCTGCTTCATTGAAGTCACAAGTAGCTAAAAACTATATGTAGGACTTAACCATCGTTAGGCAAGCCATCAAGCAATCAAGCAATTGCCCCCTACGTAATCATTGGTCTGATCCAATGGATTTGTTTGGGCCTTGAGCTCCAAGATTTTTCACGGATCCATAGGGATAGTCTGACTTCATGAAGACCCTTTTCAATCGGGGAAATTTCACGGTATTTACAAAAGGAATCACCTCATCATTGAAGGAATGTGGAACCAAATCATTAAGATTCCCGGTGAAGAGTACTATCAAAGTTCTGCTGGTGCTTACAGACATCTGCTTTCACTAGGAACATCGTCTAATATTCTTTGGAAGATATCATTCTTTCCGATGTGGTGATAACTTCTGCGTAAACTTACAGTTCTACTTCTCTTTCGTCGAGGGCCTCAAACACCTTGTGGACAACCCCTGGTGACCATAATCCTGATGGCATCATCTTAAAGGATCATAAAAACTGTTCTATTTACAAGCATGACATATGTTCATTCTATGCTATTGCCCTGCTTGTTCTTTCTATAAGCATGCTGGTGATAGTCCAAGGGGGATATACATAAAGCTGTACTCCTGAAATATCTCTGCAGTATCGTTTCAAGTCTTTCAGCAGGAGAGATGTTAGGCTAATGGGTCGTTCCAATTTAGGGTAATTAGTTATAGTCTGAAGAGATGCATCAAATGCTCAAGTAAAGCTGGAAGTACCAAATAGAGAAATGATATCTTCATTAATTTTTATACCTTTCTTTGCAGTTGTCAGTTTCTTAAAACTCTGTGATTAGTTGAGTAGTTGGAGTCGGATGTGGTCTTTCACTTGAAAACCCCAAAATACTTTACCAACGACTAGTTGGTGAAGTATTTTGGGAAAGTTTCAAAGGAAAGAAGAAAGCAATTAATTCGAAAATAAACTCTTTACGAAGATGTGTAGATCAAGCGTAGAAGTTACTTTCAATTGCTGTGAATGATATATGACCCAATGGAATTTGAAAATAAAAACTTAACACTAATTTTTTTTTTCAGCCCGTCAATCTTACAACCCCGCCCCAGCTTACAACCAGGCCCCACAATACCAGGCCCGCGCTTACAACCCCGCCCCAGCTCCCCAGTACAACCAAGCTGGAGCCCATGCCACCCCAGCCCAAATTCCAGCAGGTGTAGACGCCAACGCATGCCCAAATTACCCCTTCTGCCACTAAAAACTCCCCCAAAGTAGTTCAAAATTTCCAAAAGACAAGCCAGACTGCCAGCTGACGACATGTCAATGTTATTTTTAAGATGTAAATGTGTCCTGTAACATAGCGATTTGTGATTTGTGTGAATTATTTTATACAAGTTATTTAATAAAAAACAAAATTTAAAATAATGGAGTTTTTTTCGATTTTGTTTTGTACATAATCGGGTGAGTGCGAAAGTAGCGGTTCACATTTTCACATCCACTTGGAAAAACGTTCTCAGAACGCAGTTTTCCAGCCAAAGTTGGACCTGTCAAAGGCCTTTGACTGTGTTTCCCCCAGCATTTTACTCGAAAAACTGTCATATTATGGTGTAAGAGGTACTCCTTTGGGTTTGGTTGAATAATCGTTTCCAGAGAGTTTTTTTTTATAACAATACATTTTCTGAGCTGAGGCCGATTGACCTAGGTGTACCGCAGGGATCGGTTTTGGGCCCGCTTTTGTTCGTTATTTACAACAAGGATTTTTACAACTATATGAAGCCATGTCACAGTGTACTATTTGCTGAGGACACATCCTTGATATACTCTTCTATGAATTATTCAGCTCTTGTTGATAAGTCTATGGAAGTACAAGAAAAAGCGGAGCGCTGGTTCACTGTCAACAAACTCATGATGAATAAGGAAAAATCACAAAACATGATTGTTTCTATGGCTCTGCCATTACCTGAATTCCGGTGTGTCGAATTATTGGGTTTTACTCTGGACAATATGCTAAATTGGTCAAGCCACATTTCAAGTTTGAAAAGTAAATTATCGAGTGCCTTATTTTTACTTAGACAGCTGAAACCAATAACAAATTTCACTACGTTGAAAATAATATTTTGTTCGCTCGTACAGTCTTACATTTCTTACACAAAGTATTCTACTTTGGGGAAATTCTAGTGATGCCCAATGCATTTTTATATTACAGAAATAAGTAACTCTTTACATGGATGTGTAGACCATGCAAAAAAGTAACTTTCAGACACAAACTGAAAGAAATTCCTTCTCGAACTGCTACTTTCATATAAATATTGAATAAAAATTCTTTCGAAACAAATACTTCTATATGAACACGGAATTATACAGAAGATACATTTGTCTACTCAGTTTGTATTTCAAAAATTCGTTGTGGAATGAAAATCAGATATTCACATGAGTTCTACTTTGAATGGATAGTAAAAAATTGCACTTACATGCAACATTGTCATCCTCACTGGTATACATCGATGTTTCGCCTTAAGACACTTTCCCCAAGGCTCTTCAGTACCAAATTGGATAACATTATAGAAAATACACACAATTCATTCATGAATTACGATTTTTAATGTCATGACATTCATTCACCTATTTGCCATTTGTGTCGGCAATGTGGATTCTAGTCTGGGAATAGTGGGTGGTGTTTTTTCCAGAAAATCGACTGTGGAATGGGAGGCAAATTGTTCAGCTAGTAGACTTTTTCTATGGCTGTTGTTGCAATTGAATCATCTGCTTGTGTTAGTGGTGGAATCGTGTTGATTAACAGCTTTAGCTACCGACCAGAAGGATCTAGAGCCGTTGGGATTGGCAAGCAGTTCATCCCTAATTCTGTTTTGCTGAAATTAGGGCTAAATGATTTTTATCAGCTCATTTCATTATTTTCTCATATAATGATTCTGTTTTTTCTGCAAGTGCTAATGTATTATGATCAGTGACCAGAACATTTGTATAGTCTGCATATGCAACTATATGTACTTTCGAAAGACTATCTAGGTTTTGTATCAAGTCGTTCGCATAAATAAGAAAAAGCAGTGGTCCGAGTATAGACCTCTGTGGAACTCCTTGCTTACAGGCGAAGGATTGACTGTGAACACCTTGGATTCTCACTGTTTGTGACCTGTTCTCTAGATAGAACCTCCTTCAATCTTGGGCAACTCCACGAATCACAAAGCGATGCATTTTCTGGAATAGTACATGGTGATCAACACAGTCAAATGCCCTAGGAAAATCGATGAACAAACCACAAATTCGAAGTTTGTTATCTAAGACTGTTACTACGTGTTCTATGAAATCATACATATCTGTTTCCGTGCTTTAATTTTGCATGAACCATGCTGGTTTGTCGAAAGTAGTTCATTTTTGAGGAAAAATTGTAGTACCTGATTTTTAATATTCATGCCCGCCGCGTCCAATTTTCCATTACTTTGGCGCGTAAATCAGGATGAATTTGACCGATGTTGGCTTTGAGGGCCTCACCTGCCTACACCTGCGACTTACGAAACCCCCACAAGAAAAAGTCTAACGGGATCAAATCGCAGGATCTTGGTGGCCAAATGTCGTTAGCGTCCAGATCATCCAATTCAGCACCCAAATTTTCTGGGAAAAAATTCAAATGCGAGTGCAATAAATGGATTTTGAGAGAAATGCGACATCCCATCCTGCAGTAGTTTTCAAGTTGTTTTTCTGCAAGTGTATCGTAATTTTCTACTTTTTTGTTCCCTAAAAACTCCGAAATGATTCTTTTCAAAGGACTCCGCGCAGCTAATTCAACATTACTTAATTTTTGATCAGACTGTTAATCACCTAATAGTTTTCTAATTGGTGGTCCAACACATATACCTTCCTTGAGCTTTGCATCACTTAATTTTGAAAAAACGTGTTTGAGATATTTAAACGCATCACCTTCTTTGTCTAATGCTTTTACAAATTTTTTCATCAGCCCCAGTTTAATATGTAATGGAGGTAACAAAACGTTTATGGGATTAACAAGACGTATATTCTTCACCTGGAATATATTTATCTCTCGGAGGCCATTCTTTTACTTGATAATGATGGCTCTGTGAAGCCCTACTGTTCCAAAGGCAAAGAAACAGCATAACTTCGTAAATCCGCCCTGAAGACCTAGTAATATTCCTATAACTTTTAGGTCACCACAAATTTGCCACTTAAACGTATTATAACTTATTGCATTTAGAATAAGTGGCATTCGTTGGTGTGTTTACTTCATGGCAACTGCATGTGTAAGAGGAATAGAGGGTGTTTTGTTACCATTGTGGAGCAGAACGGCTTTTAAACTTGTTTTAGACAAATCTATGAATAAACGCCATTCGACCGGGTTACGTGGATTTACACAAACACACATTTTATCCTGCATAGTAAAAAAACGAGGATAGTTCATGGTTACGGTTCCTGAATATTGTAACTTTGGTTTTAGGGGCTAGTTAATTCCATTGTTGTAATCTAGACCCTAATAGTTCACCATTCTCTTTGGACAAGTGGAGGTCCGAACTAGTTCATTTAATTCAGGTTAATCGATTAAATGGGGTGTTCTTCCTTCTCTCTCGGGGGGAAAATAAGGACCGTCTTTTTCTGGCACATCAAGGGAACCTGCCTGATCATCATACATTTCTAAATCTTCCTCCTGATTTTCCGGGGGGTTGAAAGTGGTAAACCTTCTCCATGAAGAACTGACCTTTTTGCAGAAGGAATATCCGGATATACAATTTTGTGTTTGCTCTTTCTTGAAAAACCCGACACGTTTGTCATGCAAAAGTAACAGTCGTATAGAAGAGCGTTTGCCATTCAACCAGTTACTTAGATTTGTCGCACAGGTTTGGCTTGATCATCAACAACTAAGCTACTTTGGTCTTTTGATTAATTGGCCGTTTCTGTGAGTAAACTGACCACATATATAGCAAAAACTATCTGCGGGATTAACGCAGCCACGTTTTTTTGCTTTGGACAATTTTGTACTGTTGCGTACGTCGAGTTCAAATATATGTGATACTTTACAGGAGTCAACTTATTTTATTCATAAAGATATCACTAATACAATACTCTTAATATTCGCGTGTTTGCTCACCTCGCTTCTCTAATACTAACTCAACACTACTCGCGTTAAACCAATATTGATGATCCGATTGTCAACCTGCTACTTCTCTAGCGATTCCATATTTCTGGTATTTTCTGGAAACTTCGACTATCGGAAGTTCGAGAAGCGGCGTTACAAGTCTCATATTCAATGGAAGCAGATTCGAATACTGGGCAGAGCCGCTGTGATGCCAGATTTCAAACAATTTCCATAATTTAGGGGAAAAGCAAATTTGGAATGTCGTAATCATTAAATTTTTGTGAAAAAAATCTTACGTGTTAGGAAATATTTACTATCATTTGCTTATTTAGGGACCAAAAATCAACAAAGAACGTCCTCTGACATTACAGTCGTAGGTAAATTAGCTGTAAACTAGTGATAATTTGATTCAAATCTATAACATATGTTTGGAGAACAAACTAAAATGGACAAAAGTGATTTCCCACATTTTTTGTACAAAGATGAAGAAGCAGAAAGCCAAAATGATTCACTTCCTAAAATTAGTTCAGCCTTATTGAGAAGTGGTTTTGTTTTCAATTAGTACGTAGTATATTATACTGAATTGAGACACGAAATAACTGTAGATTTATGTAAATTTCATTAGCATTTATGCCACTTTTATGAATATAGCTGTTACAAACAACACCAAACCATCAATTGGAACTGCTGCTTTATCTTGAGCAGCTGCAACTAGCCTACCAGTAACTTCAAATAGACAAAGAAGATAACCATCCAAGGCTAGCAGTGAAGAAATAAAGCAAATTACACAATACATCAAATCTACGATCTTAACGCATCAGACACAATGTTTGCCAACTGGCATCATAAACCATGGAACAATGAATGCTAGAGAAAAATTCCTTCCTGCTATAAGGTCACACTCTTGCGATATGACAGAATAAGGAAAGCCTCACCTATAGCAGGCATTTCAACTTTTTACTCCGATATAGTCCATTTTTTTAATAGGTGAATATTTACCATGGCAATGAATGCAATGAAGTGTAGAACCTTGGAAGCAATGTGACAGAGAACTAATTATTGCATAGAAAATAGTTTTGTGCCGCCCAGTCTGAACTAGGATTTTACCCCGTTGTACAGGACGATACACAAATCCAGTGGCGAAGGAATATGCAGAAAGCTAAAAATTCGAAATATTTTCCGAGAAAAAAAAGTATTCATGTTTACAAAACATTTTAAACGTTATCAACGTTATTGCCCAAAAAAATACATTTTATAGCAAAAGGTTTGACTTGTGACTTTACAACAGAGCTTCCATATCTAATGACATCATCTAATT